GACAACCCCTATTTCTTATTTATACAGATTGAACAACTCTACCATTAAAAAAAAAAATAAAATAAAACAAACAAACAAAAACCCCACCATGGGCACTGTGGCAGGTGCCTGTAGTCCCAGTTACTCAGGAGTCTGAAGCAAGAGAATCGCTTGAGCCCAAGAGCTCTTGAGGGTGCTGTGAGCTATGATACCATGCCTCGCCACCAAGGGCAACAGAGACTCTGTCTCAAAAAATGTTCAATTCTCCCTTCCAACTCAATTAATTTTAAATTGTTTAAAACAACTATTAAGCCACATTAATTGGCTTAGACCTATTTAGGAATTCATAATTATCAATTGTCTTATTTACTCAACACATTAAAAGGTGACCCTCAACTCAGTTCCCCACAAATTTTATCTTCAGAAGCTAAAACTACAATTATCTCTCATTTTAAAGTTTTGCTTCAGATATGATTTAACTTTTCCCATTGACTTATTAATAATTAACATACCATAAGCAGTTCAGACATTTTGTTTCAAACCCCCCTAAATTGTTTAATTCTAGAATGGGTCTTTTTAACCAGTCACACCTAAAAAATACATTTATACAAAATTAAAACAAACTTGCTAAGATAATTAGTAAAGCAAGACATCATTGCTTACAAATATCAAAAAAGACATACACAATATACATTTATTAGCACCTGCTGACCAGGTAGAAAATTTAATTGCTTCTTCATTAACTATACAAATAGCTCTCCCAGACTTTACCAATTACTTTATCAAAATATCTCACATCTTCTCTTATAATTGATTTCTACTGTTTCCTTTTAATTAAGTAATTTTAACTTCCCTTTATTCTTTACCACAGGCTTTAAATGTCTTTACTGATGGCTCTAAAAGAAAAAACAGTTTAATAGGAACTACCTGGCTTGAACAAACTCAATGGACATACAAAACTTTCTCAGGACACAAAACCACTCAACAAGCCAAATTAGCAACAATCATCCTAGCTTTTCAAACTATTAATGACCAATTACTTAACATCATAAATAATTACCAGTATGCAGTGTTTACAACGCAGCATTTACCTAATTCCCAAGTCAAAAAAACTAATAATGAGTCTTTGCTTTCTCTATTTTTATTTTTAATTTTTGAGACATAGGCTCATTTTGTCTCCCTTGGTAGAGTGCCATGGCATCATAGCTCACAGCAACCTCATAGTCTTGGGCTCACGTGATTCTCTGGCCTCAGCTTCCTGAGCAGCTGGGACTACAGGAATCTGCCACAAAGCTGGGCTATTTTTAGAGATAGGGTCTCACTCTTGCTCAGGCTGGTCTCAATTTCTCTGTTGTTAGAATTATAAACCTTCCTCTGCAATCGTAAACACTCTTATTTTATCATCCGTATCAGAGCCCATATTAAACTGCCAGGCTCTCTGGCCTTAGGTAATGAACAAGTTGATACACTAATTTCTCAAAAATAAGTATTTACTGTCTCAATACAAAAGGTTTCAGCTTCCCTTGAATTTCATCATCAAAATACCAAAGCATTAGCATATCAATTCGAATTACCTACTGAACTTGCTAAATAAATAGTAGGAGCTTGCCCTGATTATCAAGCAGTGCAAGGACCTTCCTTCCCTTGGAAAAAGCTACTACCCTAGAGGATTACACAGTAATGAACTATGGCAAACAGATGTTACACACTATAGGTCATTTAACATACTTAAGTTTATCCACGTCATTGTTGACACTCATATGGGGTATATCCACACTACACCATAAAATGGAAAAAAACTTGCCATCTCCCATTTACTAGAATGTTTTGCTCATATGGGAAGTCCCAAAAAACTAAAAACAGACAATGGCTTGTGTTATACCAGTAATACTTACATTTAAAAAAAAAAAAAAAAGGGCTATGACCCCTGTATCACTCACTTCAGAGGTATTTTTAACAAAGCCCTTATAACTATTAATCTTTTGAATTGAAACACTGATAACTTTTCAGCATTTCAGAGGCGCTTCCAAGGTGCCTCCAAACTAGCATGGCCAAAGGATTGATGATTATTCATACTACCCTTGGATTTAACCCACTGGGAAGGACCTTATCCAGTCTTAACATGGGAGAGAGGATATGGGTGTGTTTCCACATCAGTATGACCTGTGTGGTTCCCAATGAAAAGGACCACACATGAGCTGGAAGGAGCATTTCAATCCAGAAGCATTTTCAATGGATGAGTCTTCAGTAGAATCCACAAGTATTCCTGCTCCAAATATAAGGGACACCCCTGGTGACATGATGATCACTTAATACATTATTCCAGGACGCCAACTCTCTTAAGAGACTGCTCAAGGCTCCTCCAAAACCTGAGAACAAGTTCCTGGCTTGCCTTACAAGGATAGCTCAGAACTCTGTCAAGGTGTGCTTTCTCTTTTTATTGTATTTTTTCTCTGCCACTAAAGGAGAACACATCTGCTGGACTCACTTAATAGAACCAGTCCAGCCTGTGTTCTGGGGAGACTGTGATCCCCCTTTCCAGTAATGATAAAACATGGACTGGAGGTCTTTTTATGTCTGTAAGGCAACCCTTGCTGAACCAGAGTGACTAGCTTTATTACCCCAATGTCTCTTTCTTTATTGATATCCATGCCAAATTTACCCTTTTGCATGTACTTTTCTGTATCATTTAAATATTTAATATATAATTTAATATTTAATTAAAGGGACCTGCCTTGTGCACTAATTACGTTACAGCATCTCAACTCCTAGAGAATTTCCTGTGAACTCTCTGTGGGATTAAAAGTAATTAAAAGAAAATATTTGACATGTGTCCTACAGTATTTCTGAGACGTCTAAACCAAACATCACTAAGTCCACTACTATGCTCACACACTTCTCTCATCAGGCAAAACAAAACTTTAAACTGTTTTAACACAGAGGTAGTAAGAAATATGCAAGGATTTTCTCAAGAATCCCCAGTGAATGGATGAGAAGATCATATAGGCCCTACCAGGCAAAGCCAAGAACTTTGGCTTTTGATGTGAATTTGATGAAAGTTTACTGAAAGGCAAAGCGAAGCCTCAGATAGTGTTTTTTAATATCTTAAGAAAAATCAATACTCAGAAAATTTAAGAGTATGAGGAAAAAACTGCCTTCTGTGAGGGCAGAAGAAATAAAGGGGCTTTTAAAAACTTAATTTCCTTGTGTCAGAGCTTCTTAATCCACACCCTACGGTCTGGCTTCTTCCTTGATCTTTGGACCTATCACCTGTGTCACCTGCTTCATTCATTCCCATCTATCTGCGTGTTTGGATTTGTTTTAGAAAGTGACCAGGTCTATCTCAGAGACAGCAAGTTCTACTTTATTAGAAAAGGACAAATAAATTTTCAATTTTCAACTTGTTATCATACTCAGGAGAGAAGAGAGAATGGTTTTTTGTTTATGTTTTTATTGAGATAGTGTCACTTTGTTGCCCTGGAACAAGTGCTGTGACTTGATAGCTCACAGTAACCTCAAACTCTTGGGCTCAAATCATCCTCTTGCCTCAGTCTCCCAAGTAGCTGGGACTACAAAAGCACCTGCCACAGCGCCTGGCAATTTTTTTTTTTTTTGCAGTTTTTGGCCGGGGCCAGCTTTGAACCCACCACCTCTGGTAGGTATATGGGGCTGGCGCCCTACTCCTTTCAGCCACAGGTGCCACCCAACGCCTGGCTATTTTTTAGAGGCAGGCTCTCTCTCTTGCTCAGGCTGATCTCAAACTCCTGAGCTCAGGCAATCCACTCACCTTGGCCTCCCAGTGTGCTAGGATTATAGGCACGCGCCATCATGGCTGGCCTAAAAGACAGAATGTTACTGAAGATTCTAAAAAATTATTTTCCTAAATACAACAGAACCTCTTTAGGTTGACTACCCATGGGAGTAACAGGCTGGGGAACATGTGAAGGAGATCAACGTAAGAACTAGGCCTACTGTATTCATAGGTATTATGTGGTACATGTCCCACCTATGCAAACTAGGTCAACTTAAGGAGGTGGTCAATATAGGGAAGAGGTCAATTATAGAAGTTCTACTATACTATTTTCTGACAGCCCCTGTAGAATATTCAAGAAGCATTTTAGATTTGTGGATTCTGTACTTCACTTTCAAGTAAGAAAAATAAAAAAAATGAAGGCTGGGTGCACTGGCTCACACCTGTAATTCTAGCATTCTGGGAGGCAGAGGCAAATGGATTGCTTGAGCTCAGGAGTTTAAGATCAGCCTGAGCAAGTGTGAGACTGAGTCTCCACTAAAAATAGAGAAACTAGGCTGGGTGCAGTGGCTCATGCCTGTAATCTTAGCACTCTGAGGTGGGTGGATTACTGAGCTTACAGGTTCAAAACCAGCCTGAGCAAGAGACCCCATCTCTAAAAGTAGGCAGGTGTTGTGGCGGGTGCCTGTAGTCCCAGCTACTCAAGAGGCTGAGACAAGAGAATCACTTGAACCCAAGAGTTTGAGGTTGCTGTGAGCTATGACGCCAGGGTACTCTACCAAGAGCGACAAATGAGACTCTGTCTCAAAAAAATAAAAAATAAAAAAAACCCCAGAAAAACAAGCTAGAGTGTTGGGGTGGGTGCCAGTTACTAATAGTCCCAGCTACTCTGAAGGCCCGGATTATTAAAGCCCAGGCCTTTGAGGCTGCTGTGAGCTATGCTGCCACAGCACTCTGGCCACAGAGTGAGACTCTATCTTTAATTAGTTTATTTAATAAAAAGGAGGAATTAGATTTTAAGGTGTAGACAACATATTTCATATCACTAAATATCTAGAATTACCAGGAAATTAGAGTGAAATTTGAAAATCATCACAAGAAAGGTATATAATGAGGTCAATATAAAGATTCTTTTGTATATTAACAAGTCCCCATTTTTATTCCTGAAAATGGGATTTATGCAAAGCACAAGCTCCCAAACACATTCTGCAAAGGAAAGAAATAAAACTCTTCTGGTAGATTAAAAATTTTGGAGGTCGGTTATTCTCACCTACAAAGTCCAGGTGTCTGGAGATCTCTGACATCACATCCCTATACAAATGCCGCTGAGCAGGGTCCAGGTATTCCCACTCCTCTGGAGAGAATTCTATGCCCACATCCCTGAATGTCAATAGTTCCTGAAACAAAAATAAATTAAAAACCAGAATGACTATGTAGCCCTAGGCAGAGTTCTTAGTGCTCAGGTATTTCCAACTCTCCAGAGACAATTCTGTGGCCACATAACTGAATGTCAACGGTTCTGCAACAAATCAAAAATAAATAAATAAATAAATCCATTAATTAATTATGACCAAGTGGCCATAGGCAAAGTTCTTAATTTGACCCAAGATAAAATGAGAGAATTAAGAGTCCTGGCTCTGACCCATTTGAGTGATCTGAGTTCAAGAAGATAAATTTAAAGACACTAATATTCCTTAAGGGATTCTCTACCCGTGTGGAAATTAAAACATAAGATTCACAAAGTTAGCATAGATACTATGCTTACATAAAATATAAATATTTAAAAAAGCATCACCACAGAAATACATTATTTTTGAGTGCTATATTTACATCAAATAGAATCAGTTGTGTCTAGTCCTCAAATGGGAAAGTCATGGTGATTCAGAAGAATACTTCTCAAATTTTATTTGGTGTGACAATGAACTGGAGATTTGTTCCAATGCATATTTTAATCCAGGATGGAGAGCTGGGTAAGGCCTGACATTCAGTATTTCTAAAAAGCTTGGCTTGGCGCCTGTGGCTCAAGTGGCTAAGGCGCCAGCCACATACACCTAAGGTGGCGAGTTTGAATCCAGCCCGGGGCCCACCAAAACAACAATGACGGCTGCAACCAAAAAACAGTTGGGCGTTGTGGCAGGCACCTGTGGTCCCAGCTACTTGGGAGGCTGAGGGAGAAGACTCGCTTGAGCCCAGGAGTTAGAGGTTGCTGTGAGCTGTGATACCACAGCACTCTACCCAGGGGGATAGCTTGAGCCTCTGACTCAAAAAAAAAAATAAAACGCTTGGCAGTGATACCAGTGCCTCAGGTCTTAAAGCCACACTTCTGAATAGCAGAGAAGTAGAGCACTGAGAGAAGAATTCATGCATGACACGTAATTGAGAGTTTATGAAATATATAGATTATGACATAACAGCAAGAAGTACACCAATTTTCTGAACATTTACTATATATTAGATGTCATTCTAGCAGTTTGTCATGTGTTCTTGCTTGAAATTATAAAAAAAACTAATGAAAAAATAGTCTTATTCTTTTATGAGAGTATTTTGTCCATTTCTAGTAAACAGCAGAGCTTTTGGTTTACCCAGTTTCTCTGACTTAGAGTTTATCTCAAAGGGACATACAGGCCACCAATGTACTGATACAATCTGAACTGAATATTCAGAGCAGATTTTATAACTGTGAAGAGTAATGAAAACAAGTGAAGAAGGCAGCAACACTAAGTTGATCAAATAATGCTTACATTTTATGCACACAAATACATAGAAACTGTCTGGGCACGGTTGCTCAACATCCCCCTCCCCACCCCCCATAATCCTAGCACTCTGGGAGGCTGATGTGAATGGTTTGCTTGAGGTCTTGAGTTTGAGACCAGCCTGAGCAAGAGAGAGACCCCTATCTCTAAAACTAGCCAGTTGTTCTGGAAGCACCTACTTGGGAGCCTTAGGAAAGAGGATCAACTGAGCCCAAGAGTTTGAGGCTATGATGCCACAGCACTCTACCAAAGGCAATAAACTGAGACTCTGTCTCAAAAAGAGAAAAAAATGCATAGAAATTTTAACTACACATTATAAGTAATAGAGTAGGAAATAATATACTTGGAGATAGGAGTCTGGCAGCCTACTCATTTGCCAGCTAATTAATAAACTTTCCTTTTCCTCAAAAAGAATTAAGTACATTCTTCTGTAAACACTAATATGTAATTATAAAAAATTATTAATCTGTCATTAATTTTTTAAATTAAATCGTAGCTGTGTACATTAATGCAATCATGGGGTTCAATGTACTGGTTTTATACACAATTTGAAATATTTTCATCAAACTGGTTAACATAGCCTTCATGGCATTTTCTTAGTTATTGTGTTAAGACATTTCTATTCTACACCTAGTAATTTCACATGTACCCCTGTAAGATGCACCAAAGGTGTGCCCCCACCAATTACCCTCTCTCTACCTATCCTCCCCCCTCCCCTCCCCTCCCTCTCCCCTTCTTCTTGGGCTACAATTGGGTTACAGCTTTCATAAGAATCTATAAATTGGCTTCATAGTAGAGCTGAGTACACTGGATACTTTTTCTTCCATTCTTAAGATACTTTGCTAAGAAGAATATGTTCCAGCTCTATCCATGTAAACATGAAAGAGGTAAAGTCTCCATTTTTCTTTAAGGCTACATAATATTCCAAGGTGCACATATACCACAATTTATTAATCCATTCATGGGTTGATGGGCACTTGGGCTTCTTCTATGATTTAGCAATTATGAATTAGGCTGCAATAAACATTCTGGTACAAATATCTTGGTTATAATGTGATTTTTGGTCTTCTGGATATATACCTAGTATATATACCTAGTAGAGGAATTATAGGATCAAATGGCAGGTCTATTTTTAGATCCCTAAGCGTTCACCAAACATCTTTCCAAAAGGAATGTATTAGTTCGCATTCTCACCAGCAGTGTAGAAGTGTTCCCTTTTCTCCACATCCACACCAACATCTCTGGTTTTGGGACTTTTGTGATGTGGGCTAATATTACTGGAGTTAGATGATATCTCAAAGTAGTTTTGATTTGCATTTCTCTGATGATCAAGGATGATGAGTATTTTTTCATATGTCAGTAGGCCGTGCGCCTGTCTTCTTCAGAGAAGTTTCTCTTCAACTCCCTTGCCTACCCTGAGATGGCATCCCTTGTTATTTTCTTGCTAATATGTTCGAGTTCTCTGTGGATTCTGGTTATTAAACTGTCAATAATTTTTTGGCTTGGTGCCTGTAGCTCAGTGGTTAGGGAGCCGGCCACATACACTGAGGCAGGCGGGTTCAAACCCAGCCTGGGCCAGCTAAACAACAATGACAACTGCAACAATAACAACAACACAAAAAATAGCTGGGCACTGTGGCAGGCACTGGTAGTCCCAGCTACTTACTGATTTTCCCCCCAAGATAGCATTAATGGCAGAGAGAAAAATAATGAACTTTATAGCAAAGGAGTACTGCAAAGAGCACCTTAAACGAGTGAATGTATTGGGACAAATAGGTTATCAGATGTTAATAAACACAGATGGACCACAATCACCACTGTGATAAGAGTAGGGAAAATTAAATTATGATCTGATTTTTTTCTTTTTTTTTGAGACAAGAGTCTCATGCTGTCACCTTGGATAGAGGGCCACGCATCATCACGATTCACAGCAACCTCCAACTCTTGGGCTCAAGCAGTCCTCTGGCCTCAGTTTTTCTATTTTTAGTAGAGACAGGGGTCTTACTCTTGTGCTATCTGGTCTTGAACTCCTGACTTCAAGCAAACCTTCTGCCTTGACCTTCCAGAGTGCAAGGATTACAGTTATGAGCCACCACACCCTGCCACAATCTGAATTTAGTCATAGAAAACAATGTGCGGGGAAGGTCACAAGTGATGAAATGTCTTCTAATTGGTCAACTACCAACTGATACCCACTAGAAGCCTGGGCCGAGAACCTCTTAACTGATTCTTGTCCCTCAAGCTTTGCTGTGCACATAAAATATTTGTGACTCTGTACCTCAATTTAACTCAAGGGCTTCTGCAGGTTTGGAAGGGGTCTTTGAAGTGGCATCTGTAAAAAGTCTCTCAAATGTAGATGATGCTCTCTCCAGATCCATTATCAAGAGGATTCAGCTATGGACAGCAGGCACAGCGTACAAAGTCCCTCACACCCAACACTCTCATCATAACATGAATACTTTCCTGAAAGATGACATTCTTTTCTGGCCATTTCAAGACAGCAAGGTCTGAGAGAGTCTGTAGTAAACAGCATATACATGTTCTAATGTAGTGTCTACCGAGCAGGGGCCATGCGTTCACAAGCATGTCACAGAGCACCATGCTGGGACATCACAGTGTGAGAATTAATCTTCACAATACCATTGAAGTCTGCTACTAAATGTCCCTTAATTCTGCACAGAATTCAGATGAAAGGTCCAGTCTTTATATTTCTCTTTTGTTTTCTTATCACTGACTGCAAGAAATTATATAAAAGATAAATGCAGAAAAGTAGGAGCAATACAAGAAATGGTGAAGTATACGTCAGAGAGATTTTTAATTGTGTTTATATTAATATTTACCTTTGTATAACTTGTAGAGCAAGTACTGGATATTCAGGAATACAAAACAGATTGCTAGGTAGGTGTCTCTAGTAAGGCAAGTTTTAATCAGAGAAAAATAAGGCCCCCAAATACAGAGTCATTTCTTCCCATTTACCTGCTTTTGTGTTTTAAAAACTTGGGAGTAATAGCTTTGGAAAGACAACAGGAAAAGCCATCCAAAAGTCTAATTTCTACTAGTCAGTTCTCTGATAAAAGAGGTCAGGTTGGGGTCACACTTGGGTCAGGTTCAGAAGAGCGTGGATCAGGACAGGCCTGGGGCAGGGAGTGTGCCTAAGGCTTCACATCTCTCCTTATTTGTTTTCAACTCTTTCTTAAGCTTGCCCAAGAGAAATATTCTCAGAGCTTATTTGATTTTAACTGTTTAAACTCTATAATCTATTTTTTAACATACACTAACAAATAACCCAAACACATAGGGTTTTCAGGGAAAATTATAATCCAGTAGAACCTCCATACTTGACCACCTTTTAAAGTTTATCTAATTTCAAAGACCAGACACGCACAAACCGTACGTATCAGTGAAGCAGGCCTATTTCCTTATGTCGACCACCTCTGTACAGTGACCAGTTTGTCACAGGCCATTGTGTGGTCAACTTACAGAGGTTTTACTGTATCTCTTCTTAACAATGTGAAGGCATTAGACACAATAATCATAATAATAGTAATATCTCTTCCGTCCATAAGTTGCTATTCCATGGTGACATCAGCACTCACAGTACACAGGAGTAGTTCAAAGAAGGCCCAATTCCCCTGTACACCTCT